CAGGATTAATGCTTTAACAATAGAATTATTTGATGTCTCTGCACCACACCAGTCATTTGTTAGACCAGCTAACAAGTGAAAAAAAAAAAAAAGTGGCCCAGGATACCATGTGTTACAAAAGTACTGTGGTTTGGTGGTAATGTTCTTGGACCCTTTTGGGTACAAGTAAATGCATTTTAGGCAGCTTTAGGATGGAGTTAGCTGGAACTGTTTTGCAGCAATGGGGGCTGATTTGATGGGGACTCTCTGGTCCCTTAGCTATTGTTGCTGCTACTCAAACTATTAGATGGGGAGGAAAGGAGGCAAAGAGACAAGGACCGCCATGTGTGCAGAGTCAGTCAGTGCTTCAAAATAAGCAGCTGATCACGATGGACCATGGCTGCAGAAAGGTAAAACAATGTTGCTGATGAACTGACCAAAGCAGAGGGAAGATGCGAGAGCACGAGGCTTCCTAAGGAAGCAGAGGGGCTGGCACTTACTGAGCCCCCGCTGTGTTCCAAGTCCCAGATATCCTGTCCTGAGGTCCCATGGAAGGAGACCTTGGATGGAAACTGGACAGAGAACAAAAGTAAGCTTCCTCTTTTTTCTTAAAACACCCGACACAGCCATACTAGATGGCAGAGGCCAGGACGGCGGGGCCTGAGGCAAGCCCCACCTTGGTTGACCTTGGTTGGTCATCTCTGCACCTCCACCCCACCTGGCCCAGCACAGGTAGGCGCCCAGGTAAGCCCTCCTTTTTTCTGAGGTGTGGGGCAGAGAGTAAGTGGGCACACTCTTGCTCAGCTGCACTCTCTTCTTTCTATGAGAGTGTCCCCATTCTTTGTTTTTTTGAAGCCATCCTTACAATACTATTGATTCTAACTTTGGGCACTACCAATTGGCCTCACGTATTCCACAGACCATCTCATTTCATCTTGCCAACAAAACTCTGACTTGTCTTCACCCTGTCTTACAGAGGAGGACACAAAGGCACACAGGAACTTAAGTCATTTGCCTGCATGTGCACAGCTAGAAAGGAGCAGAGTTGAGAACCCAACCCAGGCCATCAAGCTCCAGACCAAGCTGGTAACCACGACACTGGCCCACCTGGAGCTCCCCCTGTCCTGTGAGACAGTCGCTGTGCTCAGTGTGTTTTCTCCTTGAATCCCCGCAAGACCCCCTGAGTTGGAGATTACTACTGTTTTGAAAATGAGGAAACGAATCTCGGAGAGAGGGGCAGTAACTACCAAGGTCACAGACTCAGGAGGTGAAGGTGGCAGGCCCACGGCCAGGCCCACCCTCCAGGTGAAAGTAAAAGTTCTCCTGAGTGGCCACGAATCACTCAGTACGCAGCTGCTTGCTGGGGGCTGGCCTCAGCCCTCTGAGGACCTGAGGACTTTATTACAACACTTTCTGAGTTCCCTTTACTTATCTCACTTGCACCCTGTCTAGGCCACAAGCCCCACCCCATGTGCATCTCTGCTGTGAAATGTTTGTGGAATGTTCACCATTCAAAAGCCACATCCTGGTTTGCTGTTTGTAATTCTTGGAAAGAGGGGGGGCTATATAAATAATCAAGCCCCATATGTTGTTGAAATAATCATTCGGTTCACCTAAGTTTATACAAACACATTTTCCATGGTCTGATGTCCCCCACTTGTACCAGTGGCAAAGTCAAACTCCAGATGAACTTCAGAGGGAAGTGCTGGGGCTTCTGGTCCCCTGTTACCTATAAACTGAAACCATCTGACCCCACTGCAGTTAAAAAACTCATCCCAGCTTCTTCTAAAAATGTTCTTGGTCTCTGAGTCACATCCCAAAATGAAGGGGACTAAGATAACTCTGGGTTTACATTTAAAATACAAGAGCACCTCACATGAGAGCTAATGTGGCCTGCCATGGAGGCAGGTATTTCACGGTGAGGGTTCCCAAGAAGTGGGGCAGCATTAAGATAAGCGATCCCCGTGGCATTTTATAAAGCACACAGCGTGGTGCAAGAGTCCCTGGAGGAAGCGGGATGAGGCAGCCTCGTTGACAGCATGAGGCAGCTCTGCACTTATGCTGGACCTCTGCAGACAGACTTCCTGACTCTGGCACACGGAGAGTACATGCCTCAGGGGGCGGTGAGGACCGGGTGATGTAAACCCACGTGAAACACTGAGCACAGTGCCCGGCCTGCTGCGAGCACTCAATAAAGGTCAGTAAGCAGCATGACCACTGTACTGAATTCCTGGTGTGTCATGTGTATCGGTCCATGTCACACAGGCCTTGTGAGGTGCACATGTCAACCCCCGCTGTACGGGGAGCTATGACGTCCAGGGCTCAATTTTCAGTGGGGTTTCTGTAGTGTAAGTGACCTTCTGATTCCACTCATCTTCCACAAGGTCTGAGCCCCACGTGAACACCCAGGTGGGAAGGAGCACGGCCGTGCGGGCTGTGAGGGAACAGGAGGAACCCACACGCAGGCGGGCAGAGTGAGGACCAGGACAGCATCGCTGAAAGAGCTGCAGAGGCCTAAATGAAAGGACCGAAATGCATAAGCTTTAACCAGAAGGTTCACGGGACTCCCAGGAGGACAATGCAGAATGAGGGCCTGAGCGAACCTCATGGACCCAAAGGAGGATTCCAGCGGAAACCAGGGTCCACCTGGCACTGGCAGTACCTGCAGTCACACGTTCCCTCCTCTGTTAAACAGTAACTCCCTTCCGGTTGGGGCTGTACCCCAAGGTTCCCTGATGGTACCTTGGCACCCATGGCAAAAACAGGGGTAGTGGGCAAGGGAAACTAGATCCATTCGAGGTGCAAGCAAGAAATGGGTGCACTTCATAGAGAATTTAAAAACAGCAGTAAAGTTGGCCAAAGTCTGACTGCTTTTTATCATCACCATGTTGGGGAATTATAAACAGTGTCCCTCGCTCATCATCCCCCCACGCCGTCTGCCCCCCACAGTTCTGCACACTGCCCTCAATAAATACAGCACTCTCCAGAGGACTGAACCTGATAAAAGGGGGCTGGGGGAGAGCAGAAATCCTGTGGACTTTTGGGCAGAAAACATGTCAACTGGCTGACATTTAGATATACAAAATACATCTTTCAAGAAAAAAACCATGTGCAATAACATCCACACACAAGACCCCAACGGCACAGACAGATGTTGCCACAGGCTGACGGGAAACTTGACATTTCACAATCCTGTGGCTACAAAAGTCACTCCGGGGCCCCAGGATTTATGCCTCTTTCTCAGGAGCCCCGGGCGGATAACGAACACCCCTCGTCAACTGGGCAATGGCGCACACTTACAGAAGGGACCCCAGCCCTACCCCCCCACCGCCCTCCGAACAAGGCTAGAAGATCACACGCCCAGACTGACCATCAGAGGGGCACTGGCTTTGGAAGAGTTCAAAATATTAAGAAATCAACACGGGCATTTAAAAGCAAAAGCCCTTTCCGCGCCAGAGAAGACATTTCGCTATTCATCTTGTTCCCTGACAACCAACTTGATGGAAGATGGTTTAACTGACATAAAAACCAGCTATACATGAACAGCGGTGACTGATGGAGCCATTCCCAGCATCAGCCAAAAATGGCACTAAAAGATGCCCTGGGCTGCCTGTTAACTGTTTTATGAAGGGACTGATACTTCTTCTGCCTCTTGTTTAAAGAACAAAGTAGCAGAACAAGTACTCTCAAAAACAGAATATTGTTATACTGAGATTTTAAAAAAAAATAAGTGCAAGGCCTTTGGAATGTTTGTGGACAAGTGAGGGCTGTTAGAATGGCGAAAACTGGGTTCTCTGAGGCTTTGTCCATAGGCTGCTGTTTAGGTTCAGGGCACAGGATTTACCTGGGTTTTATTTAATTCCGTGTAACAACAAACTGTGCCACAAAGTAGTCCCACTGACAAACAGAACATCTCAGTGGCAAAGGAAAAAAGAAAAAATCCAGTCTTTGGGGGAGTCTTCAAAAGAATGTGCAGATGCTCCAAATGAGCCATGACAAAGGAGGAGAGTGAGGGGATCACCTCCAAAAAAAACTGCAAAGGGCAGACTTGGATGACTTGTGCTGAAGTGCAGACCCTTTCAGTTCAGGGACAATGATCCATTTGCAATACTGTGCTTTATTCTTCCCTGTTTCTCAGTGATGGATGGAAAAGAGCCAAGGTTTCAAAAGTATTAGCTTTCTAAATTTTTGTTCTCTTTTCTGGAGCACAGAAGGTCTTTTCCCAGCCTTTATTGCTTCTTATTTTGAAGAAGGTTAATTATGACCTGGGAGCGTCTGCAGCATCCTGGCACTTGAGATTCGGCCATTGTCAAAGAAGAACATTGTCCGGCTGTGCGGCAAGGACCAACTTTGGAAGCACCCAAATTTGGAACGCCTTTTCAGAAGCCTCAGACAGAGTCCACGTCCTGCCATTTTACAGGATGACAAATACCCATGCTGTTCCCACTTGTCTTTAAAGATGTGCACATTAGTGAAGCATAAAATCCACTTGACTTTTACAATAAAATAAGTCGGCTATTTAATCCACCTAGAATAAGTTCTTGTATCAACGTAGCAAACCCAAGGGCCCACTTATTGCCCTTTTCTCCCTGGCTCTCAATTACATGGTGTGTTTCTGGCCCAAGTTAATATGTACCTGGAGTTCTCAAGTATGTGTGCCTTTGACCTAGACATTCTACTTGCAACAAATCAATCCCATAGAAATCATCTGATTTGGAAAGTGCTTTAGTACTAAAGATGTTCTTGGACATTTAGTTGTTCTAGGAACAACTAAAACTCATGTTAGGAGAAGAATAAGGAACTAAAACACAGTTTGTGTAGCTGGTTTACTACCTGCGGCCATTCGAAGCTCTGTTTAGGTCTGTCTAGGACAACTGGGGAGAGGAAAATCTTAAGTGAAATCTTATCTATGCAGCAGGACTCCCACTGTGTTAAAGATTATCTCCAGAATTTTAGATTGCAGGAGCAGATTAAGGATTAATCTGGGAGGAAAGCTATCACGGGTGTATATGCTGTGATTACAGCAAAACAAAACAAAACAACGTGTACTCTTCAAAGTGTGGAAAGATAATGTGCCCAACTGCTAGTGGTGAGTATTTTGGGTGATTTTTTTCTCTCTGTCTCTTTCTTCATCTCTTGGGTAATTTCTACTCTTTTAATGAGGATGGTCTTGTTTTATTTGGGAAACAGCTATTTGGGGGAAGAAATGTGTCAGCTGGGCACCAGACTTATGGGTGTAATCACTTAATAAACTATATAAATGTCCAATATTCCATGAACTCTGAGAGTTTTCACAAACCAGGCTAACTCACAGGTCACATCATTGCAGTCCCGCTACTTCAGTTTTCAGCCACCGGAGAGCTTTTGAACTTGTAACATTATTCTCAGAGCCACGAAAAAGTGGGCATTAAATGTCAGAAGGAAGAAAACAAATCTTGTCATTTGAAGGAGGCTAAATTTCAAGGTCTTATCAGAATCCCAAATGCCAAGCTGCTACTCTCAACCCTTCACAAAAGCATTACCTTGAGGAAGTTTTGTTTTGCTTTCTTTGACCATCTTCTAAAGAAAGAAAAAGACACTGAAACTAATATAATAGTGTATGTCAACTCTAATTGAAAAATTAGATAAATAAAATTTTAAAAAGGAGAAATGAAGCTCCCAAGAGGAAAGAAGAGTGCCTCCTCCAGCTGCTGTGAGGATTCATTGTGTCGGCCTGAGTGCTCTGGACCCGCGTGCTTCACACACACTTTTCCGTGATGCCCAGGACAGGTGCACCCTCTGCTCTGAACGCACAGGGCAGTGCCAAGCCCTGAGAGAGGCATGGAGGGCTCCCTGACTGGGGAACGGGCTTCTTCCAGGAGTTCACTGCTGAGTTCGATTACTGCACTTAACCCTTCCAGGGATGGTTACTCCAAAGGACCCAGAACAGTGCATTTACAGCCGACCCAGCTGCTGTGACTAAGAGAGGGATCGGGAAAACCCGGGTGAGTGCAGTGTGACATGGAGGCGTGGCCTTGAACTGAAGGCAGGGCTGGGGCGGAATCCTTGTCCTGACACTGCAGCTGTATGAACTCAGATGTGTGGTCAACCCTCCCCGAGTCTCACTTTCCTCATCTTCAACAGGAGTGATAACAGACTGCAAGGAGGTTTAAATGAGGCAATACCTGCAATGTGCCATCAATGGCCATTTCTCACTACCCGTGATCCCCAATAATAATAACTGGACACTTATAGGCCAGACACTAAGTTAAGCATTTCATATGCTCTTTCTCGTGAGACCTTCCTACTACTGTTCCATCCCACAGGGAGGATACTGTTCGTATCTCCTTCTGCCCATGAGGACACTGAGGTTTTGAGACGGCAGTGGCTTGCCCACCACCGCACACATAGCAACTGGGACAGTCAAGGCCGAGAGCCAAAGCAGGAGATGTACTGGTGGTTTCCAGCACCCTGGAAACCCACCACTTGCTGAGCCAAAATGAGGCACTTTCTGAGGAGCAATCCACACTGAAAATCAAACTGTAGGGCATGGCCTGGGTCAAGAACAAGGGTTTCTGAAGTTTAAAATGCAATAGAGCGCCAGGTGGTATCCCTGAAATCGGGGACCTGGTGGTGGGGAGCAGGTGGCGAAGAATAGAGCGGGTTGCTCCTTCTGAGGATGTGTTTCTGTGTCACTCTCTGCTGCCCCCCAACTTTTACGGGCCTCAGAGATGGGACAAGCGTCGAGAGTGACGGGGGACCCAGGATGGTACCCTGCCCACGCCCCCTTTTTAATAAATGCCCTCGAACCTCAGTTCCGCGTTTCCCTCACTTGCAGATTTACATCTCCTTTTCAGTGGAACACTACATTCGGTCAGACCGTGAGGAAAAGTGCTCATTATAAACTAGGAAATGTGTGGAAAGAGAATTATTTACCCAAGGCAGCGCTCAATCAGTGTTGCCCGAATATTTATTTAGCCCACACACGGAGAAGTTGTGTTAATGTTTGCCAAAGAATGTAGCTTTATAAAGTAACTGGGTCAAAAAAGACAGCATATCATTTTACAAATAACTTCAAAATTGCTTAAGTTAAATGGCCAGGCTCTGTCGGGTTTGTCTTTTCAAAACGCCACAGAAACAATATCCAGAATTATGTCTCATAAAATACAGGTATTACAAAGTGGCTGTTTAGCCCATTAAAGAAAATGGAGAGTGAAATCTGAATTATTTCCACCCGAGGCAGGAGCAGACAGAGTCACTAAAATTATGTGCGGCCACTGCTGCAATCCTTCAAGTCTGCAGGGTGGCTCGGCTGCAGGCTACCGCACCGCGCTCCGCTAGGAGGGCTGCCTTTCCCCGTCAGGGAGGACAGCAATTCCATTTTTCAGCCCCAGTCCAGTGTGTCTAGAGGTAATCCACCCAAAATATTTGCTTTGGGTTTATCGGTGGCATTTGTCTGCCTCAAAATCCCTCGTGAGGGAGAGAAGGCCAGTAAGTGGCAGTGACAGAGAAGACTGTCCAAGGCGTTTGACTCAGTGCAGATGAAGGGGAGTGAGGACAACCGGGGTGCAAAGCCTACGGTGCCCTTTGAGGGTCAGGTAAGTCTGAGCAGCCATGTCATACTGATCATCAGTAGTAACAGAAACAATGACAGCAATAGCAACCAGGGCAGGACAAGGATGAAGCGCATGTGCCCTGGAAATAGTAGAGGAGGGAGGCGGAGGGGGAAGGAGCTAAAAGGAAGGCAGGGAGGGAAAAGAAAAAGCACAATTATAACAGCGAGTGGCATTTATTGAGCTCTTACTCTGTGATGGGAACCGTGCTACTAATCTACAGAAACAGTTTGGAAAATGTCATGGATATCTTCATCCCAAATGTTTGTAGGTTGCAATGTCTTCATCAGCCCACAGAGGGCACTGCTGGCCCCCAAAGCCTGGTGATGGTGGAATGCAGTGAGCAGGGTGAGAGTCATGGACCATAAGGGTGACGCAGTCAGCAGGGGTGGCTAAGTTAAGCACATACCCAGTGAGACGAATGTCACTAGGTCAACACGTTCCCAAATCCCAAGTGCCAACTGGAGACAAAGGGGTTTGTGGCCTGACATTAATTCATTCCAGTTTCCCCGACCTTCAGCTCTTTGCTACAAGTTCTAAGGACGGTCACCACAGGGACCCACTTACTCACACATCTTCCCACTGAAATAGGAAGAATGCCGTCTTGGAGATCCCTGGACCTGCAATGTCCAGCCCAGCCTATCCCTAGCAGGTGCTCAGTAAGTAAATATTTACTCATGGACACATCAATGAAGACCATGAGATCCCTGCTTTGGAAAGAGTGCTGGGAGAACAGGAGGCCGCTGGGACTTCAGAGACTTCAGAATAATCAAGAACAAAGATTCTACAAACTTCCTTGAAGAAAGTGGGTGTGTGAGTTTCCTGTGACTTGTAAAAAAAATCACTGCAAACTGGGTAGCTTCAAACAACAGAAAGTGCCCTGGCTGGTGTGGCTCAGTGGATTGAGTGCCGGACCATGAACCACAGGGTTGCAGGTTCAATTCCCAATCAGGGCACATGCCTGAGTTACAGGCCAGGTCCCCAGTAGGGGGCGTGCAGGAGGCAACTACACATTGATGTTTCTCTCCCCCTCCTTCCCTTCTCTGTAAAAATAAATAAAATCTTTAAAACAAAACAGAAAGTTACAGTCTCCCAGCTCTGGAGGCCGGAAGTCTGAACTCAGGGCATCTGCAGCGCTGGTTCCTTCTGGGGGCTCTGAGGCACAACCACGCCAGGCCTCCCTCCCAGGTCTGCAGCTGCTGGTAATCCTTGGCTCGTAGATGCAACGCTCCAGTCTCTGGCTACACCTTCACATGGCCTCCTCTGTGTCCTCTTCTCTTCTTACAAGGACAACAGTCGCTGGACTCAGAGCCCACCCTACGCCCAGGATGATTTCATCTCGAGATCCTTGTCTCCTTACATCTACAGAGGGCATATTTCCAATAAGGTCACATTCTGAGGTTCTGAAGGGATGTGAATTCTGGGGACACTACTTAACCCTCTACACCAGGACTCCACAGCTTGCCCACATTTAGAGCTTTCCCCTACCCGTGCCTGCTGAGGCTTGGAGCTAGAGTGGCTTCACACTCAGACACTCTGGATGTGAGGAGGCTTGAGCTTCAAACTCAAGCACAGCCAAATCCCTAAGGCCTTGGGAAGAAAAGAAAGGGCGGAGGAATGCAGGGCCCGGGGAGAGAGGCCTGCAGGAGACCCGCCTCAACCACCACTGCCACACCTGCCACACAGGCAGGTAAAGGGTACGGATGCCCAGTTCTGCAGTCTCAGCCTCGACGAGGCTCTTCCTCGTGGAGACAGGAGAGCAACCCTGCTTTGCCTGCTCTTGCCAAGAGGACGGGAGTCCCACCTTCTCCACCCCCCCACCTCCAAGGGTGTCACGCAATGGCTTACTCTGTGAGACACAGTACACCCGGAAGTCTCGCGGGGCCAGGGCTGAAAGAAGCTGTGAGGAAACACAATCCTGGGAGGCTGTGGGGAAACGTGGCAAATAAGCTATGTGAGTCAGAGGTCAGCGCCAGACACGTGGGCGTTTGAGGAATAGACACGTGTGGCTGCTGCAGAGAATCGCGGAGCATGTGTGGCCCAGGTGGACAGGCCACCCTGGCATCCAGCAGGCAACGGGGAGTCCATGACATGCAAACAGACATGCGAATCTGCAGGCTTTGGGGGCGGGAGCACAGCAGACGGGACACCACTGCGCCGAATGGGCTTCGGTACTCAGATCATCCCTATTATAAACGTAATTTGATGCACAGACTGCACATGATGAAATACCCCCACGAGGTTTGGGGTGACATCCTGTAACAAGCACATTTATACTTCTGCAGTGAAAAATGTGATTATTTACACTGGAGAGGAAAAGATAGAGACATGAAGTCAGCTCAGGTCAGGTTTCCCCGCCAAATGAGTTTGCTGTAAACTTGCAAAATAATTTTGTTTTTCAAAGCTCTTTAAATTTTCGAATAGTGAAAAGAGACTGCAGGTGGGTATTCAGAAGCCTGAATCTAGGCACGTACTTACCCAGGGCGGCCCTGGGCCCGGAAAGGACGGTGTGGCGTGGGGCTGCTGTGGCGCCCAGCGGGCCCGGGCGACTGCCACAGTCCACGCAGCTCCAGCTCGCACCTGTTCTGTGAACGGGGCTTCCCCCAAAGGCTTTAGTTTCATGAAACAATTTAGAAGCTACAAAATAGCCTAAAAAAATCACTGCTCTGTTTCAGGAGTTGATAATTTTGTGTGTGTGTGAAGAGCCAAATAGTAAATATTTTAGATTTTGTGGGCTGAGAGGCAAAACTGAGGATAGTATAGAGGTACTTAGATAACAAGAGAGAAAACAAATTTTACATGCTTTTATGAATGAAATTTATAACTTCATTTATAAACACTGAAATATGATTTTCACATGTCATAAAATAATATTCTGCACTTGTCTTTTTTTTCCTGATCATTTAAAAATGTGAACAGTATTCCAAGCTTGCAGGTGGCACCCAAAGCAGCACAGGCCGTATGTGGTCATGAGTGGGCAGCAGGGTGTGACTGCTGATCTAGGTCAGTCCTGGTCAAGCAGGGCCCAGTCCCCGAGGGAACCCCCGGCCCCCCCCGAAGGGACCCAGTGAAAGCCCTCGGCTGGATCAGAGGAATTCCAACCCGATGGCTGAAAACAAGACACCGCCTCACCTTTGACTCACAAGTCACTTCAGAGGCAACTGCTTTCTACTCAGTGTTTCAAAACCTAAATACCAAATGTGGCATGAGCTATAATTTAGCCACACTAATTTCCTTAAACAAATGCTCCCTTTCAAAAAATTATTTTTATAAAAAAGCCAGATGCAGTGTTTTTACTCCCCTAAATTGGAATGAGTATAGCAGGCTACAGGCTTATTTGCATTGCATGTGGTCAGTGAGCACCACTGTCAGTCTGAACCGTATTACCAAACGCCCATGAACATAAATCAGGCAGACTTTGGACCATCCAGGCAGTCTCGGAAGGCTCACCACATATCCAGTAGTAAGCCAGGCAAGAGGACAGACACCACCATCAGGGGAGGTCCAGCCATTCCCAAATTCCAGGATGCTCTTTGACGCCCCTTGTGAATTTGAGCACATGTTAATTACCAAGCATCGGCAGGCATTTGAATATATAGGCTTCACAATACACTAATGTCTTATCCTGCTAAAGCTAAGAAAGCAGTAACAGATTAGAAAAGCCCTGAATTCAAATGAACAATCTGCCCTCAAAAGGGGTTGGAAATATTTACAGAGAAAGCACACGTGAGTAAACTACTTCAAGGCAAGCCCAGTGTTTAAAATGGCACTGTTAAAGGTGTCCGACATGGATAAAGCAAACCACAAAATGACCTTTAAAGCTCGGAGCATGTCTGCCAAAAAAGCAAGACCAACTGACAAAGTAAAAAATCAAAAGCTTCACAAAAATACCTGTCCTCCAGGGGCCTCAGATCTAGAACAATCTCCCACCATCCTTTGTACATAGGAGGTCATGAATAAAAATAGCCTTTACTGAGATCTTACTCTGATTACTTTATTAAACACTGTCAATAGCCATGCTAAGGAGTTACTGTCATCCCCATTAGACAGAAGAGAAAACTGAGGCGTAGGATTTTATTTAGCTTGCCCAAGTCACAAGGTTGGCAAGAGCCAAGTCTGAAGTTCAAAGTCTCTGCTCTGCATGCTAGAACCTAGTAAACAAATAGAGGCCCATGGACCAAATCTTCCCACAGCCTGTTTCTGTAAATAGTTTTACTGGAACACAGCCATTCATTTATGGATGGTCTGTGGCCACTTTCCTGCTCCAACAGCAGAGTAAGTAGTTGCGACAGAGACTGTATAGCCCACAAAGGCAAAAATATTTACTCTCCAGCCCTTCAGAGAAAAATACCACGCTCTAGTTTCTTGTGGGCACCTACCACGCTGCAACCCTCTGTGGGAGGGAAGCTCCTCAGCTCCCAGGCTCCCAGAGAAGCAGCATCCCAGACCGTCCTCACATACTGGTGGCTCCAAAACCTCGTCCCCAAGGGACATTGAGCATGGTGCACTCGCAATGTAAGAGCAGCCAATCTAGGTGGTGGCTGGGCTTCAGACTTCGTCCAAAAGGCACGATGGTGACAACATTGAACCAATCAGATTCACTCCTTTTGAGACTTTGAAGGAGGCAGGTGAGAGCAAAAAGCAAAAACAACAAGGCACAAGGAGGGGAGTACAGATGGCTAGATCAGCTGAGCCACACTGACAGTCCGAACACAGCGCTGGAGACAAGGTCAAGCTGCAGCCCGGGACTAGTCTGGAGGCTTCTCCCAGCTTACAGGCAGGGATCTCCCTCCTTCATCCCCATCCAAGAACATTAGCAGTGTCCCTTCCCTCAGGCCACCAGGACATCAGAAGACCCAGCTGGTTTTCGCTATTCCACACAGGAAGAACCAAAAGTTTAGCATAGTGATGCATCCGCTCCAGAAACAATGCGAAACAAATCAAAGAGTGCAATCCATGACTGACAAAGGCAGACACACTCTATCTTATAGTATCGAACTATTTGAAGAAAGGTAGCATGACATGGTTTCTTCCGTACCACTAACAATAACAACAATAATAAATATTTCAGCCCTGGATGATGTGGCTCAGTGGACTGAGTGCCGGCCTGCAAACCAAAGAGTCGATGGTTCGATTCCCAGTCAGGGCACGTGCCTGGGTTGCGGGCCAGGTCCCCAGTGGGGGCACATGTGAGAGGCAACCACACATTGATGTTCCTCCCCTTCTCTCTCTCCCTCACTTCCTCTCTCTCCAAAAATAAATAAATAAAATCTTTTTTAAAATAATAAATGTTTCATATGTTAGAATGTATACATAATTATTTATGACATTTTCCTCCATTATCATAATCATCTTACGTGTGTGTGTGTGTGTGTGTGTATTTTCCTCATTTGAAGCCACCGGGTAAGGGGTGAGGGTTTCTTTTTGTATCCCCCTTCTCTTGACAAAAAGACCCACTGCTCTGAGTTTTCAAGACCACCCGGCAGGAAATTGGAAGCTGGGTTTCTATCCTAATCCCCTAGTTAAAAAAAATTCATATTCAAGATCCTGCTCTATTAACTTAATCAGGTTTTTTTAATAAGTTAAATTTGATTTTGAAATCCCTTGGGTGATGAGACCTGAATTTTTATCATTTTACTTCTATTTAAAAAAAGGAGACGTGTGTTTCCTTCCCAAATCAGTCCAACAGAAAGGAACTGATGGCCAATGCATAATAAAGTCAGAGTTGCGTTTTGACTTGGGAGAATCATTAGCATCTTGATTGTTTCCAAGTTCTTCCAATTCAAAAAAATACCTTATCGAATCCAGGACCTCCCAGAACACTAGAGTTCTACAGATTGCTTTTTCAGTGCTTTTAAAACTTAGATGGCATAATGGAATATAATGTGGCTATTGACTATGTACACACCCTGCAGAGGTGTACAAACACACAACTGCTCGAGTCGGTGAAAGGCACAGGGCCCAACCTGCCCTTGTGAACTTCTCACGACCCTCAAGTATACGTACAGGATATATCGCAAACACCATAAACCAGCACTGTAATTACAGAGAGCAACTGATCTTAAAAGGTCTATACCAAAATTCATACTCATAAAAATATAACAACCTGAACCAGAGAATTTAGGGATTAGAGCATTTTGAACATATTTCAAATTTATAAAGGCTGTGTATTAGTCAACATTCATAAAGGTTTTTAAAAACAGAATAGCTACACGCATGGTGAACTCATCATTTGCACAATCTAGATATAAAAAATAGGTATTAAACTGCCCACACCTCATGCTCAGGACTAAAATGAATTAAGTTCCCCTGCCATAATTAAAGTGCTGGTCCCATGACCCACCTTCCTGTTAGCAGGTTTTGAACGCTGGGGACACTGTATCCGTAGGGGACCAGACGGGTGCCCATCACTCACACGGCTCCAAGGCCAAGCCCTGGCTGGAGAGGATGTTTCCCACTGAAGGAATAGCATGGAGCCCATGGAGAGGGAAGCGCTGGCCGATTTTGGTGAGACTGAGGTATGAAAACTGGGAGTGAAAACTGGATCCTCATAAAAAATGTGTTTAAAGTATTGCTTAAGCTGAAAAGGTACCTATATAATGGAACCCACTCCTGGAGGGAAAAGCCAAACATTAGCGTGACAGGCCAGGACAGCACATTAAAACTAGCCTCCACGTGGCCGTGATGAGAGGGGAAGACAGATCTGGAAACAGATGAACAAATGTGTACAACTACGAAACATCAGTTAGGCACAGTGGCCACTAACAAAGTTGTAGGAACATTTCAGGTATGTGGAAACACAAGAAATCATAACTTCCGATGTCTGGCTTTGAATATGAACTGGTTCCAGCTGAAGTGACCACTTCTAGGCAAAATTATGAGTATTTCTTTCTTGGTCTTCCTTCCCCAAACCTCTAAAAGACAGTAGCATTGAGTGAGGGCAAGTCCTTTAGAAACATAAAAACAAACACAGATAATCATTTTTTGAATTTCTAGATAAATTATAGAGAGTAAGAATCATATCTGAAAAGGAGTTTATATTTTCAAAGAACTTTTATAGAACTCTTTGTACCTTCAAAAGAGTCTTCCTTAAGAAAAAGTAAATTCAAGTCCAAAACAATGTTATTCTTCCCATTAAAAAAAAATCAGACCATTGAGATAATCTTCATCTTTCAGATTTCAAAAGTTAATCTTCCTTATCACAGCCCAGAATCTGCAGGATTTCTCCCCAACAGCGAGCTCCATTTTAGGAACTCCCTACCTACCAAGACTCACCTCTGCAAACCTCCGAAAGCCCCCCGTTGTGAAGCCCTCCTGGGAGAAGCCAGCACAGACAAGCTTGAGAGTGTTGGGGAGGAAATGCCCCACAAGTTGCAAACGAGCAAGAGATGGAAAGTGGAGTTAATTTACAATATCATGTATATTTATGGACTGCAGATAAATGAGCTCACATAGATACTCTCTTGAGAGTTCCATCTTCATGTTGTAATTGAATGAGTAGAAGATAAACATGTTTGATTTTGCCTTCAATCACTGTAACACTGTATTTCCTTAACAAATAACTGAAATTCTCAGTTGTGAAGTTTTCCTACTCTGGTGATTTTCTGAAAGGCGATTCTTAAGGCTATGGATGAAATACTACATTTATTTTTTTTTTAAAGGTGCAGCCCTGGCTGATGTAGCTCAGTGGATTGAGTGTGGGCCTGCGAACCAAAGGATGGTGGTTCAATTCCCAGTCAGGGCACATGCTTGGGTTGCAGGCCAGGTCCCAGCAGGGGACGCACGAGAGGCAACCACACATTGAGATTTCTCCCCCTCTCTCCTTCCCTTCCTCTCTAAAGATAAATAAAACATTTTTTTAAGTTGCACTTATTTGCACTTTTATCATCTGATGTACTACATAGTGATATATCACGTTTAAATTTTATATCCCCTAATAGAAAATCACAGTGATTTTACCTTATTCACAAATATGTCCTAACTCATAATAGGCACTCAAGTAAGATTTATTAAATGACTGAGTAAATAAATTGGACTCCATATTGTGTAGGGAAAAAAAAGTTTAGGCCTCGTAAAATATTGACCTGCCTCGCAGAATTCACTGCACGGGCAAACTCGAAGGGAAGCCCAATGGGAAGGCCTTCTGAACAGCAGCAGTGCAGTCGAGGTGGGCCCAGTGCCAACCCTGGATTTCTCTGAATCAGCTACTCCCGAAGTTCACATATTGCTCTGCTCAGCCAATGGCAATTCTGGGAGAGAGGCGATTGATAATAATTATGCTTTCTGCCTTCTCTGGGGTTATGAATTTATCATGATGTAAAAGTTGAGCTACTCTGATGCCATGTTAACAATGATAAACACCATAAAGACAAAAAGAAACGAAATTTAAGCATTTAGAGTCTGCAGGGGAGTTTATTAAACACATTAACTAAGCAAAGGCAAAGCAGCGCAATTATGGAAAATAGGTAGCAACACTGTGGCTGGCTATTTTTGCCAGCCACCTGAGAACAGATTTCAAATGCCCTCATTTCTACAGGTACATTATCATGTGTTTTATTGTTATTCACAGATGCAGGTTGATTAATTTGTATTCAGAAATCCTAAGTGGCAAATGTGCAAAGCATAGTAATATATGTATTTGTAATGGACGTGGTGAAAATGCCTAAGCCACGTTTCATAAGTAACTCTTGCTCAACTAGTGAGCAAAATCCATAAAAGAGTTTATAAAGGCTGTGAAAGAGCTCAGTTTGAAAGGAAAATTGCAAGAGGAAACCTCCCTCTGCTACCCCATCTCTTAAAAAAAAAAAAAACGTCCGGAGTAAAACCAAACAAAACATTTGGGTAATGTCAAGCTGCCAGGATCATCAATGCTGTCAGTTCACGTTCTTGTCTCCTTGCTCTCTGGGCATTTCCAATAAAATCCACAAACACCAGTGATGACTCCCAGCAGCAGACTTGCGCATGATAGCCAGGGCTTAAATAAGGGATAATGATACCTGTTAAATCCACTACCTAAATGCAGTCACGGAGCGCCTTAAAAATACTGAACCAACTCTCCACTTTCTGCACTAAAATGATAAGGAATGCCGTGGATAATGGAAATGGTTGGAAAATATATATTATTGATTTGAGAACACATCCTGATCTGTCCCTTCCCCTCCATCAGACACCTAGTCTAGGCCCCCACCTGATTAATTTTCCCAATCATGCTACCCCTGCTCAAAGTGAATTTACATTCCCTTTCACACTGACCTTGGAAGTAGATCTGAGACCATGCTTCTCAGCTGGAGAAAACAATGTTTGCATTTGAAAACCCTTGCAAATTATCCACAGCTCTGACAAAAGGTACTCAGCAGTTGAGTATTCTCATTGCAAGGTTTTATCAACTACCTAAGGTAACTCAAAGACACAGTAAGAGTGGTATATCACCAGGTAAGCATATTGATCAATATCACCCAAATGCATTGTTGGTTTACTTTTTCATAATTTCCCACACTTGAAATTCCAAATTGTTTTCCCAGGCCTGCTGCCACGAACAAGACCAATCAAAGACTGTACCGATCAAACTCTTGCATACATCATGTTCATGTTCATTTCCACCGGAGACAACATGGACACAGCTAACTCCTGGACCTGGCCTTTTGTAAGTTCATTATAGCATCCAAGCCATGACTATACGTAGACCTTTCTACTATTCGTCATTCTGTAATTCAAAGAATTTCCCAAACCTTCCCTAGAAGCTTATTTTGGGGTGGATTTGAGGATGCTAAACTACAAACCAAGAAGGGAAAGAAACACTTCAAGGCGGTGCTATCGGGAATGGGGCAGAGTGAGGGATAAAGCATCAGCTGCTAGAACTCGGAGCGGGAAGGTGGCCCTGATGGAGGCCCTCTGCTAAGGTCTCACTGATGGCCTTCCACAGGGTTGTGGCTTCAGTGAACTACGGACACTGACACAGCCCGCTTCACCCCAAAACCGGCACATGGGCTGGGAATCTGAGACCTGCAGACACTCCAGGAGCAGGGGCGACTGCTTCATCAGGCTACTCTGGGCAAGTCCTGTAAAAACACAGGAGGTTTCAAAGAGCCCGTGTTGTTATTTTAAAAAATCATTACAGAACCAACTATATTTCTAAAGGGCCAAATGTAGGTTAAATCATAAAATGGTAATGATAAAAGTTAAGGTCCCTACTTGAATTAAAAAGAAAAACAATTTGATCACAAATCAGGAATTTGATCAAGAATCAGGAATCTGAAGTTCCAGTCCTGGTCCTCCCTTTCTCTGTTCCTTCAAAAACTATGTATGGAGTCTTGCTGTGCAGTGATACTTACATCTTAATTTCACTTGCAATGGAGAATTCACATCTGCCCTTCTGGTATATTAAACTCAGCCAACAGGAGTGACTAAGCAGACATGCAATCACATGCTGGAAGGGTCCCACAGTCAGTGCTATGCAAACGGGACACACTGGTATTATTTCATTGAGTCAAATGACAAGCTTCTTAGAACAAACCAGCCCTGGCAAAATGCAGGACAACAAATGAATTAAAATACTGAGTAGATGTCAGGCAACCAATGAGAGGCCTATTAGATTTGACTTTCTACCTAAGCACCATGAAAAACTCAAAACACACACACAAGCTCACGACCAAAAGGCCCCCCAGCAGGGCCCCCTCTCCAGGCCCCCACCTTCCCCGCCCAGGTGGGGCATTTCCCACAACTCCAGAGGGGACAGCAGAAATGAATGATCGGCCAGCTGAGACTGAAACCATGAAAAATGAAACCTCAATATTATATTTATCAACTGACAACATTCATCAAAAAGCTCAAATTTTAAAAGGCCTAAATTGTGCACTTTTAAGTCATCAGAAACCCTCTTTCATCTAAGAGAATGTGATTCCCATCCATTCACCAATGTCTGTGTGGGGGGAAACTGATCGTGCACCTGGGGTCTTCTCCCCATTGGGGCCTGCTTTCCCATGCAGCAAAGACAAGGTTTCAGGGGTCACAAGACACCTTGGGCTTTGTGATGACCTCCTTGTGTCCTATTACCTGCCCTTGCTCTTCATACAAAGGATGGAAAAGATGGGCCCCTGGAGAGGGGGGAGCATCAAGGTACTGGTAATGATGCCCCCCAGTGCCCTAGGACGGAATTCCTTCCTGGCCCACCCTCCCCATGGCCCCAGGCAGAGGCTACTGGATGGCCATAACTCTACTGGCCAGAGAGGTGTTCCGCAGGCCATGTTGGTGTGGTGTCCTGGTGACATCTTGTGGTGAAATGGAATAGAAAAAAGCCTAAAATTCTACCCATGGCCACGTCTGGGCCAACTACAACCTGAGTGCACGTTTGTTTTCCTACCTGAATAACTCCTCCCTAGGTCCCTCTTTCTCTAAAGAATAGCCCATCAACAAGAGGCAATACTGAGGTCCGGTGAACACAGAGATTTAAGCGCAAACCAAGGCAAACATTTCCCAGAGGTGTTTATACACAAGAAAGCAGCAACCAGCATTAGATGAATGATATACATTTCCGAAGAGATAAAAACATCCTATCTTCCATTGATCACCATCTATTCTAAGGGACTAATCAGTGAGACGGTAGCAGGAAGGAACTATGGCACATGGGTGAAGATGGTCGGGTAACACATGTCTAGCTCTCAAGACTTCTTAAGTAAAGCCTTGAATTACATGATGACAAGTCCCTCAAATTTGTGTAAAAAATTGTTCTTATTCAGTTACAAATTGTATAATCCTACAGTATACAGTTCACAAAAGGTAAATTCAGGGTGTTTAGCTGAGGTTAAAAATGAACAATGGACAAGAAAACGATTCCACAAATAAAATGATTCTATAATAATATCAAGGATCTGCTTGACTGTGACTACAAATGTAGATGAAAAGATTCCACAGCACTGAGGATAGTGTAACACAAAAAGTTACACCATCTGCACTGAGAACCAAAAGAGTGTACGTACGTGCTAATATAAATACCTCTTTGTGTCCGAAGTCATTTACTTTATTAAACATTTAGCAGGCAAGGGGCGCATAAAACGGAAGCGATGTGAATCTGTCCACATGAAGTCCTTATGTCCGGGAACAGCTCTTAACAGCCTGGTCGGGTCAGGGGAAACGCATTTCCTGTGGCTGACACAGGGAAACTGCACCTTTGAAGAGTGCAGTCCCAGCCGTCAGAGCCACAGCACAGCTCTGCCTGGCCTGCATTACCTACTCGGTGTGACCATGCAGGAGGCCAGATGCACATGCTGGTTAGGCTGTGATTGTCTACAAGAGCGGCAGCTCAGCAGTGAGGCCTGAGCTACCCTGGAAAACATCCGGAGGAGGGAAGGAGAGAAGGGAAGTTTGTTTCTAGTATTTTCCAGGCAGCACCAAGAAAATCACTGTTACGATTTTCCTGGCAGAATACACATCCCTGAGAATGCTGAGATTTCAGACATCAGAGCTGGAGATTCACAGTGCTGGTAGGAACCCCTCCCTTAAATGGAGAGACAGTATCAGGCTTGGTGCCATTTTCAAACTGAATTAAACGTAACCGCCAACCCCAGGGGGTGGGATTAGAGCACAGTAGCCCAGGGGGCTCATCTCTGAATGCTTAAGAGTATAAATCTCGACCATTCACTCCACTAACCTCTTAAAGACACACAGATGTTGCTGAGGAACAGATAATTGAGCAGTTTATGCTCCCCTTCTCGAAGTGAGCCAAATGCCATGTTTTTTTGTCCTGCTCTGTTGACTTTGTTTGGTTGTTATTATTATTTTAGATGCAGAATTAGCAGTGAATGCAGTGGCAGCACTGAAATGGTTTGTTACAGTCTCAAGTGGGAAAATACAATATTTA